ATCCTGTGATCTATACGGAGTGTGGATTCGTTAAAAAAGAGCAGAGAGCGGAGCAACGCGAGTTATGTGATGAGGAGTAGAGTCGACTCGTGGCAAGCATACCATCCCCCCCCCTCTCATCCCAGCACCTTCGCCAAGCACCTTTGGTCCTTGTGTCGCAAATTTTGTCGCTTGTAGACCAGTCTGCCTTACATTAAACGTTCTTTTCATCAGCTTGTGCGTTGATATGTGCTTTCAAGATCGCAGTGATTCCCGCACACACCTACTGAAAAGTCCGCCCCTCCCGACAGGACCGAAACGTGGCTCCGTTTACAAAATTGACCAGTCTTATGATGGAGCGCCACGGAAACGAATGTAACAAACGGAAAGTTGTTGTCTTGTGTTTTCTTCTAACGAGATTGGGCGAAAAAGCACATTTTTACCTCTACTTTGAGCTCTTCATCATCATCAGTGTCGTCAGAGTCATAGCCGTGTTCCTCGTCATAACTACTAAATAGAAGAAAAAATCACGAAAATGGTAAACAATTACTACCATTATTTACCTACCACTTTGAAAGGAATTCAAAGAAAGTGGAGCGTTAGGCACCGGTCGCTTCCTTTCAAGGAATGCGCCGCGCATTCGCACACTATAAAGAATTCTAGCGAAATAAATGGATATTTCACCGCCGCTCCTGTCTTAAATTAGGTACCAGCGCTGATAAAACAAATCTTATAAGCATCGATCAGTTGAGTTTGAAATGTGCAAGCCATCGACTGCAATACAGAATTAGCTAGGGCATCTGATTGACCTACACAGCGACTTGTAGTGGTCAGTCGAAGCAAAACTCATTGTTTCATAAGCCCGGCAAACCTATTACGAAACAATCAACACTGACTGGTTGAAGGCTCGCTGGCCTGGGTTAGATTCGGTACAGGATTTGACCATTGTGAGCTGGCTACTAAACCTGCTGAATGTTTGCTTGTACGTAGAAGTGGTTGATTACGCACGAACGTTCTATTCTCATAATGGCGAAATAAACGCGTCCAGCAAGCATGCAACCGCAAAGACGGCCAGCCGTTGTCTTGATCGAAGTTAGGGGCGATACAGCAGGAAGGGGAAAACCTTGCCAGGTGAAAAAAGGAACTTGATATATTCTAATGAGCTTATCGATGCTAAGAATTGTCTTAAGAACGGAGATTTCTTCATAGTTGACACATTCTTGGATGAGATTTTGATTGGAGGTCGAATTCGTGGCGCAACCCAAAAACAACTGAGTTTTCAATTTCGAAAGCTTTCGTAAATGCTTCTATTAATGCCAATCTTATCAATATCATTAATATTATTAATTGAGCTGGGCACATACTGGTGATGCTTGCCTGACGGATCATACTTCTCTATCATGCATACCCTTAATACTCTCAAGTTAACCTTTCCTACGCGCCGATTCGTATGATGGCGTGATACATTGAGGCACTTCCGTACGTTTTCCGCAACGAGACTACAGTATTGATGCGAAGTAACCTGCTATAATAAATTGCGGGGAGTTTTTTGGAGAATATCAAATGGTCCACGTAGGTGGGCTTCACTATCATCATGCTCTTAATCATCAGGACATGAGTTCGCCTAAGCATGTCGCTGCCGATAAACTGGAGTCGAGAGTAAGGATAAAGTCTTTGAGTGAGGAAGCAGGTTCCCAAGGAGGAACGGAGGACGAGGCGCATTATCGTTGCAAAGGCTGCGCTACCCTAGCTCATGGAAAGGAGTCTAGCAGCGAGAGTTCCTTTCCGCTATCCCGCAAACTATGCTGGACCGCGTGCGCGTCTCGATCGGGACTCCGCCAGGAGGCTTCGTCGCGCGGCCGACCCATAACCGCAAAACAAGAAAAAAAACAACAATTAACAAACTCTGACAAAAAGAAGAAAACAGACAGCCAGACAGGACCATCCCGCCCAAGGCAAAAGAGTCCTGGACGCGTTCGGCAGCGTGTGATATGCGCTGTAGGAGCTACAAAGCGGAACATTTTATTTGAGGGACGTAGATATGCACCTACAAGTACGGCGCAGCGGGACCAACTCGTAACAGGCCTCATCGGTCCTATTGCTGCGCGACAGCTCCCACTGCGGGTATACCACAGAACCGATTAATCGCATCGGAGTATACTCGACAATGCGCTCGCCTCTTTGAAAAAATGTGCGTCTAAAACGCGGCCGTAGCAACAGTTATAAAATGTATGAGGCACTGGAGCGAGCTTCCAATTAGCTGGACTTTTTGGAGACACAGCGATTTCATGCTTTTTGTTACATTGAGATTTGAGTTTTGAGCTTGGTCTCCGTACTAGTACCACCGCAGGCAAGAGTATAAACATTCTCGCAGAGAGCGCAGGAATGGAGTGAGTAGGGATAGCGATCACGTCTGCTTCACGAGAGCTACAGGTAGGAAGCGTAAATGTATGCGTTTTCGATCACCACAAAAATGGCGAGATCTCGTTTTTCCTAATCTCTGTTGGCATTGAATTAGTATTTGCGCGGTGCCATTTGTAAGAAAATTATAAATGTGCAGTATGTTGCGCCCAGTCCCTCGTTAAATTCAACAACTGCAGAGCACCCCAGGACTCATCACTCTTTCAAATATCTACAGCGGTGTTTTCAAAAACTGTTCACCAGTCAGTGACCTCAGCAAAAGTAATAATACATACCTGAAACGAAAAAGCGAGGAATCATAGGAACAGTTGTGATGAACTTTCCAACATAATTTTTTGACGTAAACTGCATTACGGGAAATAAGTGGGTGGACGCTACTTGGTACAGCAGAGCATTAACTTGACTACTAATTAAATAAGGAGACTGACTTGGAAAATTAGAAAGGTGTGCCTTAAACTTTTACGAAGCGAAGAGATGCTGCAACTGATAATCATGGTTTCAATTATGTGCCTGAGACCGCATTGTCTAAGTGCGAAAATCATTTGAAATACAGTGATAGCAGTTAGACCAGTCAACGACCACCCTTTGAAAGCAGCACGAATATGAACCAGATTGACAGAATATAAGAAGCTGTAGGCATTATGCATCAGTGGGCTGATGTGGAAGTGCCACACGCGACACGTCCACTAAGCGATGCTCGAGTTAGTGGTATAACGACTCAGTTTGTTAAGGGTGAGCTCAGAGAAGAGGCCCACAAAGTGGCTTTGAATGCAACTTTTCTATCCAAATTCGCACTCCATCCGTAGTTCAGTCCAGGAGTTTCGCTACAGGACTTGCACCCCTCGACTCCCGTCCTCCCCCGGCTTTGGCTGTTACAAAAGCCATTACCACTACGGAAGAAGCACTGACTCTCAAGAAATGTCCATTAATCCTTCATTGTGAATCACGTCTACTTCTACAGAGTCGCATTCCTTCAGGATTGCCGTAGTGACTCTAACACCAGTACAGCTGGGAGAAAGGCTCGCCTCAGTGCGACATCTGCGTTTAAAACGAGCGCGCGCGGGAAGTTTTTTCAAAGAGGCGAGCATCTTGGCGTATACCTCCGAATAAGTCGCCCTCCATTGACTTTAAAGGAATCTTCCACGGACCATGGACCAGTGGGCGGGACCGGAAGTTTTTGTGACGAAATGCATGGTAGGTACGGATCCACGTGTCGAACGCACGAACGTGAACAGGATTCACTTCAAACCTTCCCATGAACGTGGATCCGTACCTACCATGCATTTCGTCGCAAAACCACTTCCGGTCCCGCCCACTGGTCCATGGTCCGTGGAAGATTCCTTTAAGCGTGTGTTATGTTAGCACACAGTCAGAGCAGAGCGTTCACGTTGATGATGTAAACAGTGTTGAAGTCGTCCAGCGTGGAAATCGATGGGAAAACGCCGTTATGCGAGTTTCGACCCGTTTTCTAGGTATCCGTTACGTACACTCTAACCCCATTCATCTCCTTACTTCCACCTCCGCAATTGGCCACCACTTAAATCGTACTATCGCCATTGATTTATGTCTTATAGAGTAGGGAAACATGAGTTGTGATATAAGCTAATGCTCACCTCGCATAAATGTCGCTGTCAACTATACTGTGGACCTTTGCACTTTCATCTCAGTCCACATGCCACGCTGTTTTGCTTTTCTTAACCTGCTTTCACCAATAGGTTCTACTGTAACTCTCATTCATCATTAATATACATTGTTTGGGAATTCTGAAAGAGTCAGTTTGTAGCAATTCTATCATTGTCATCAAGATGGAAGAGCGAGATAATTTGCCCATCGTCAATTCGAAGTGATACCAGCTAAAATAAGGTTTGTTGACTGGCGAATAAAAACCCTTCAAGCTGGATGTTTTTGTAGGTGACATTTTGCATGTTATAGGCCAGAACCATGAGTCAGCTTCTGCTCATTGTCAGTCTTCTTTATGACACAGCGCCTACTATGAGAACTTGGACATCTTGGTTCGTAGCAGTAGGATCGTGCAGAATTCCGGCTCTCTCTAGTCAGACGACCTGCTCGTAGCATGCGTTTCTGTACCACGGTGAATCTTCATGATCCGAAGATGAAGAAGTCGACAACCCTCATGAGGCTGAGCCAGTTCGTAGCTTTGTATGATAGGATGTAACTAGTTGTAGTTTGGGGAATAAACTACCACTGATTGCTTCCTTACTTGTGGAGTGGGTTGAAATCGCAATTTACATCGTTATTAACTTACGCAGTTGCTATATATTGTTGAAATTTTATTACTTCTCAAACCTGATTGCCATGCTTTCAAATAAATAAGACAACATTAATGATAACATAATAATGATGATGCTATCATCAACCGGTGAGTAGGAGAACATGAAGAGCCAGCGCACGTGTCGAATAAGGAGGGCCTGAGAGCCAAATTAGAAAGGTTCACATCACAGAACCAGACTAATCAACATGACAGGCAGAAGCTAAGACCCACATAACTCGTGCCACAACTTAGGCATCCACGGCGTTGTATCCAATATGTTTGCGTGTCAGAGTCCAGAGACTGCCTGTGCGGCAGGAGAAGGACGAAATCATCTCATTCCTTGTGAAGGAGGCCTCGCTTTGGGACAAGCTGTGGATCCAGCTCTGTAGCTGGAAGCCATGACAATTTCCTGTGGTACCTGCACCACCTTTCGTTAAGAATAGTAATGGAATTTGATCAGCTTATCGTTCACTACGGTCGAAGAATTTCTGACAAATCTTGAGTGCGACACCCCTTTCGCATTCACTGATGCACCGCGGTGTAATCACAGGTAGGGCTTCACAGGTGCGACTCGGTCTAGGAGCCTGGTCAACGGAGTTAGAAGTGGACATATTTCAAAATTACTCTCAAACCTTCAGCAGGATCGCCCTGATTATAAACTAGAACAATGCCACTAGTGAAAGAACGAGAAAATCCGTCCCAGTGTTCAGCGACGCAAACCACTCCTTTTGACAGGGATGAACCGACTACCGCATGTGCCAAGGGAATGGGAGGCAGCTCATCGATGAGCATAATCCCAGCCGTGCTTGGGTCTGGAACTGTAACAGTGAGGCAGAAATCGTCGGTGGTTGTGTCGGTCGCCAATACTAGGTTTGAAAGGAAGTTTAAGAGCATATCACACACAAAGTTGTTGTTGTTCAAGTCGAGACAGTAAAACTCTAATTTCGCCCACTCCGAGTCCGTGCTGGTTCAGCGTATGGTTAACACAGCAGATGCACACGTCTTCGGCAGTGGCCACATACCACAGCCTATCGTCGTTGCTGTGCAACGAGAGGTAAATATGTAGATGGATGATCTATCACGAGACTGATTCTGAGCACCTCTCGTGAACAGATTTCTCCAGGCGAAGTTTGCACATGGATGAGCGCTTGGATGGTCTCGTAGGAGTAGTTGATTTCGTGCAATGCGAGCGCTTTTATTGGAAAAGCTGAGGGGAGCACCGTACGTAGCACAGTCCGCTCCTTTTGGATCACCCGTGGAAGAATCCAGAGTATGAGAAATTCAGAACTAGCACGAAAAGTCCAACCCAATATAAAAATTTGCTCCACGTTATTCCACTGTCAGAGGCGAAGTAAAACACAAGCTATGATCTGGCAAAATTTCCCAGCAGTGCTCTTTGCCCGAACATTTATTTTATAGACAAGAGAATACGCGGGGCCATAAATGATCGTAACTCTTAAGTTGTTGTGGAGCATTGACAGGTCATACTCTTTCAAAGTTGAGTAGCACAATTTTTTCGAATTTTTGGGACATCTTGAAAATGATGTATTCTAAAGGGTTCGATCAACACAAAATTTTTCAAGAACTCGAGGATATTCATGTCCTGACAATCTCACAACAGCATATGCAGTGTACATGGTTGCATGACAGTGGATTTTGATGACTTAGGGGTTTCGTGAGTGGGCTCAAAACTGCATAAACTCGAAATTCTCGCTCCTTCTTGTACCCTTGACATCCGTTGTTCTTATTTGTGTTAGTTGTTTGTGCCGTACGAGGTTATAGGTGGAACATTTATTCAGTTCGGCCTAACGTTTCGACAAAATCGTCGTCTTCTGAGGCCTAAATGCGGTTCAAGGTTAAGACTTACGTTCCAATCCACCAAGCGCCTTATATTCTCTAGCGATCAGCGACCCTCACCGAGAAACATTCTTCTCACATTAATGGGAGTACAGTTATGGAGTCATTCGATGTAACTTCACTTTACACCAACGTCCAAAACGAGCAGGCCTTGCAAGCATTGTCAGAGATGCTTGATAGGCATATGCATAGTATACGACTATTTGGACTCACCAAAACATGCATAATGACATAATCTTATCAAGGAATGCTTGAATTGCAACATCTTCAAGTGGGCAGGAACATACTATTCTCAGATTAGAGGGCTTGCCATGGGTCAACGCTTAGCACCAGTCCTTGCTGTTTGTTTCATGAGCAAAATTGAAGAACCGGTGCTTGAACGTCTACCTCTGATGTACTGTAGATATATTGACGACTGCTTCATTATTACGTCGACACAGTCCGAAATGAGTGTTTCCGACTGATGAATGAACAGTCACAGTACATCAAACTCACTCGCGAAACACCACACGACGGTTGGTTGCCCTACCTCAATACGCAAGTGAAATTATCCAATGCACATGTGAGACTATGCACATGTGAAATGGTACCGCAAAAGTAGCTTGAAAACCATCTGATTCACGCTACGTCGGCTCACCCAATCGCCGTCAAACGCGCTGCTAAGAAATATATTCAGAACTGCGACTGGGTGAGCACTGGTGATGTTGAAAGACGTGAATCACGACAATTAGCTACGAAAATAGCCATTGCAAATGGCTATGCGGTACAAAGACACCAAAGTGGCATATATTCCCCAAGAGGGGTGCCGCGTCAAAATAAGTTACCCTTATGTCTCCCCTTTATATCTGACAAAGTGAGCACTGCTATTCAACGGAGCATTAGAAGAGCACAGCTGCAGAACGATGTTCAGTTGGTTAATATTCCCAATGAAAACATCGGACGGCAACTGTGCGAAACAGGCTTATGATAAGCAGTGTATTTCAGACGGTTGTGTTATTTGTTGCTATGGTAAAATAGGAGATTGTGCATATAGGGGAGTAATTTATCAAATCGAATGCCATGCTTGTAACTCAACCTATATTGGAGAAACAGGAAGGGTTCTAGCCATTCGCATCAAAGAACACCTGGCTAGCATGAGACGCGGTACTCGTTCAACAGCTCTTGGAAGGCATAAGTTCGAGGAGCACAATGGCGTTGAATTTCGAAATAAAATGTACGGTGTTGGCGCATGAGACGGAAATTGTTGCGAGAAAAGCACTGGAAGCATTCTGGATTTCTTCCAGAAATCCAGCAATGAACGGCCGAGATGAGCGTCCTTCAATAACAAGTGATCTTTCGCCGTATATACCGCACTGCGAGCTATAGAATAAAGCGTACGTGCGTAATAACACTAAAATCAGGAGACAATGCGGTGTGCATTATTTCTTACTGGGTAACGTCTCTGTGTGGTAGCGGGATTCCCGCGCAAACGGTGGAACCCTGGGTGAGTTTCAAAATTTATTTTTCTTGTGTTTCTCGGTGGGGGTTCTGACGAATGTCGGAACCGCTAGAGAAGATAAGGCGCTTGGTGGATTAGAACGTAAGTCTAAACCTTGAACCGCATTTAGGCCTCAGAAGACGACGATTTTGTCGAAACGTTAGGCCGAACTAATAAATGTTCCACCTATAAACCTCGTACGGCACAAAACAACAATGGTAACGAAATGTGATTACAATAAGTAAGAACGTATGTGCCAACTACCTGGTGTTGCTTATCTGTTATTTCCTGGCGTAGTCGGTCCACTAAAGAGTCTGCTGTTGCCTTTTCTTCGGTGAGAGTGTGCACTTTCTCAATGGCTTGATGGAAGTCGTCTTTCATCTGAACAGTTCCATGGTCTTTCCAGTTTACGGTTGATACTCACCAAGAAGGTCAAAAACCTATGAAATGAAACAGCTGAACTGCTGTATAACGTTCTCTCCGACAAATTTTGTTCATGATATATAAAGAAGTGAAAGGTCAGCATGTTCATAGTGGAATGGGGGAGGTGGGGCCTTGTCTCATAAAGCACATGCAGCAGCTGCGCTTCGTACAAGAGTCCACGAAAATAACAGCAGCAGATGGGCCTAGCCGTTCATATCGCATTAACTTTCCCCAGTCTTCTTTCACATGGCCAGACAACAAACTATGACTACTGCATTACAGGCTAATTCAGAAATCATCCGATCACTCCCTAGTTTTTCATGGTGAGACTATGATGAAATGTTTGGGAGGGCAGACGCTATGGCTTCTATGCACGTACTAGCTTCTTTAAATCCCGCATGCAGGAACAGATATGTATAAGAATCTTCAGTAGCTACAACGCAGTAAAACAGCGGCATTGCTCGGAGCGATTGGTGAGTTCTCATTCCAAGGAAACGAAGATAACCAGACCTTCGAGAATTAACCGTCATCTCTGCCTCTAGGCGGCCGAGTCATCCACGCCAACCACCGATCTTTGTTGTGTTACGCCTATACAGTAGAGTATTGTGCATCTAATAACCTTAAGGATAAAAAGCTCTTCGTCACACACTGCACTACCGTCCGGTTCATTTAAACGTTTTCCTCTCTCGATATTCAAAGGCGCAATCATCAACCTTGTCACGTCAACATGCTGCAGCAATTATTCATGCTACTCAACAAAAATAAACATGGAAAGTGTAACATTCACGATGCTTTTGAGTGTCCAAACGAGCAAAGGAAATTGGACATCGAATAGAACAGATATGAAAGAAACAGATTTGAGAAGAAGCGTAGAATCTGAAGATTCATTTCTAAGTTTTGACATGTTATTTGTGACTGCTCGTATCCTCAAAGACGCAGGTGTGACATGTGATTGACATGTACTGGGCTTTTAAGGACGAAGTTTTAGACGATTGCATTTGTTTTACAAAACCGGGCACGGAGTCATCCTTTTCATATTCGCCTTTTTTTGGGGGGGGGGAGCAGTCGTCTTTGGAGCCGGAGGAGAGTGTAAGACATGTTATTCCGGTCTATTGGCGATAAATTGCAGACGAACTCACCTGACGATACTGATCCTGAATAGACTTTCTTTCAAGCTCGTAGGATTCTCTTAGCTGAAATTCTATCTGTTGGACGTGCTTGTCGTTATCCGCTTTCAAATCGTCCTGTAACAATCATATTTAAACCTGTTGTGAACGTTACCTAAGCAATACTTTCACGGGAAACGCAGCCATCTGCCGCTAGGAAAGCTGCATCGCTATGGCTAAAGGCTAAGCGACAGTACTATTAAGGGCAAGATTTGGGATAAAATAGGTGTCTAAAAGCGTTCAGTCATGATACTAGAGGTGGGAGGTGGTCTATAAAAGAGAAGGAAAAAGCAAACGAAATCACAGATTACGCCCCGTACAGAAACCTCCCCTATTTCAGCAACATTCCACCTTGGGATAGAGAAAAGGCGCGTTGGACGAGTTTCGCGAGCCTGACTCTAGTTGCTCCAGTGCCATTGACACAGGATCGCGGTGGGACCGCTGCCTCAAATGCGCCCGCGCTTTTCAAGCAGCGCCACGTGGCAACGGACAGCGGAGGGTGGGGCTTGCGGACGAAGGTGTGAGTTGCGGGTTGGACGAGCTCCTTGCGCCTTTGTCGCGCACTTTCAAGCGGCAAAAAGGGGTGCGACAACAACACTTGTCCGCCTTCCTACTAAGCCCTGCATGGAACAGGTTGGCCCGTTCTCGACTTTTCTTACGGGTTGTGGCACGCCTTCGAGCGTAATGAATAAATAAATAAAAAAAACTTGACATACCGTAGTCTGCTCCAATGAAGTGATTTTCTCTCGAAGTACGCCTCGACTGATTGAAATGCATCATGCAGCTGCTGGGAGAGTTCTGCGTTCTACAAGTCTAATAATTGCTTAGAGATATCTTATCCCTTTGAACAACATCTAGTTATTTGTTTCCCAAAAGCCACTTGCTAATAACGCCATTCAACAAGGTTATTGACTTCTTTCAATCAAATGTAAATAGTTACAGAGTTTAGTCAAACTTCACCTCCCTGATAAGCTCCTTGATGCGAATGCCAGCAGCACTCTTTTGTTCTTCTAGCAAACCACTCTCTGACGACAACTTTCTTTTGAGGGACTCTAATTCATAGAGTAAACTGAAAAGAGAAGATTAAGGTCAGGTACTCAAGCGAAGGGAGGCAGCCGCAGCGGTACTCGCTACTGCACCACTTCCGTACGGCAATTGAATGGATTTAACGACGAAAAGCGGCCCATTGAAAATTAAGCTAGAGATAGTAAGTGGTGCATGACAGAAGAAGAAACCGAGGAAGATGGCCCAAGACTCCACAAATGGGACCCCTTCCATGTCAGTTGATTTCCACATTGATGCAACACTCATCGGTTGCGGCCCCCTTAAACGCTAGCGCTCTCCGCTCAACGGCTGGAGACTCGAACAAGAGACGATGCCAGAGGGTGGGGGAAGGGCGTACTGCGCTATTCCTTGAGTTGCATGTCGATCCGCCTATGTTCTCCTTTCACTCTTCTTCGACCTTCGCCACTTATCGTGACTCCTCCTTTAAAGGACGAATTCACGCTGGAAAGGCAACCCATTTCAAATTAAGTTAGCGATGGTGAGTGGTACACTAAAGAAGGAAAAACCATGCGAAACGGCCCAGAACCTGAGAAATGGGACCACTTCCTTGCCCGTTGATTTGAGCATTGATGCGACTATCATCGCTGTGCCCTCTTCAACGCTACGCTCTCTCACCTATCTAATCACTCACCACGTATAGACCTGCGGCGAGTGATCAGATGATCGGTGGGCGTGCACTGACCAGCCGCGGCGGGATTAAACCTTAATAGGTCAACGAGGTCAACTCCTCCTGTGCAAAATTGTGCTTTGTCGCACACTTAGGAGCTCGCGGGTCCTCAATCAGCTGTAACACTTTTCCCTAAGTTCGATTTTCCCTACTGATCGCATATTAGTTGCTTGAGTGCTATTAGCTACAGACTTCGATAGAATCAATCATGTCGTGCAGCTCGTTGACACTGACAATAGGAGTGGAAATCTCTCCACTAACTGCACTGCTCAATTATTTCAAACAGATTCTTAAAGGCAGTGAGCACGTCTGTGGCGAAAGCGCACGTTACTGTCAAAGGCAGGCCCAGTGGGCAGGGGCTCTCTATGTGTATGGCCGATATCATAGTTTGCGAATCGAGCGATTCGCTAGCGAATCGCTGGATCCGAGCGTTGTGCCAGCGAATCGAACGTTGCACCAGCGAATCGAACTTTGCGCCAGCGAGTCGAACGATGTACCAGCGAGTCGAACTAGGTACCAGCGACTTCAATAGTGGCGGGACCCAACTTTCAAAAGCCCGCCACTTTCAAAAAGTGTCCATTGTCAAGTCCCCACGACTTTCAAGCAGCGTCCACTGTCAAGTGACACTGTTTTAAAAGTCGGTGCAACGTTCGATAAGCTGGCGCAACGCTCGGATCCAGCGATTCACTAGTGAGCTGCTCGATTCGCAAATTATGGGTCTAGAAAAGAGCTCTGTCATGCCAGTCAGGAGGCGTCTGTGTCGATCTTCAATCATCAGTAGGTGGTAAAACGTCTGGGCGTAGCCGTACTCACAGCAGCCCACCATCTTTTGCCAAGCTATAGCTCCAAACGCCCCGATCACCTCAGATTGGAGGTAACAAGAACGTACGGTGCCTCCCCACCTTAGGTGCAATATCGATTGGTTGTAAAGGTGTTAGATGAAAAACGTTTAGATTATACGAGTTACACGACACGCCTTACACGTGCACATATTCATATGCTAGTAGTCACGAAATCCTAGACACTAGTCCACTCTAAAGTCATCGTAATCACTGCCTTTGAAGTCATGCCCACCTGTTACTGGGGTGCCATACCAGCTCGGTGTGGCCCACCACTGATGGTTAGGATGAAAATGAATTATGATGACGGCTTGAAGCGTTTACCTTTCCCTTTCTTCTAGGAATTCATCCTTTTCCTTTTCCATATCTTCCAATTGACTGCTAAGACGACTCACGTGCTCCTTTTGATCGCCTTCCTTCATTGCGAGATCGGCCACCTATAGCAATTCGTTTTAGCAGCAACTGTCCAATTATATGAAATAGCTGAGATAACTCCGTCTGAGCTATATACTCTTAATTATGCATTTCAACCAAGTTATGGATTGGCTAAATGGCGATAATACAGCTCCGATCAGCCCATAAATTGGAGCTGATTCTGTGTTACACCAGCTGATTGCACGCGTATTTTCGGATATTCACCGTATACACAGATGGGATGGTAGAGAAGGGGGAGGGGGCGGGGCAGTTGAAAAACACGTTTTGTCTACACATTCGAATAGAATTGATCACACTTTGCTAAATTCAACTGAATGGTCCCAAGGTTAATATTGAAAAGCACTTTCATTTTATGAAAAAAAAAACTTCGCACTGGCCTTTTACGCGGACAACATCAGAACAATCTGCAACTGCAACTGCAACGGCTGGCAAATGGGCTTGTCTACCAAATGGCGGCAAGAACAAATGATATACAGGGGTGGCCAAAAAAAAAGAGACACTTCACTCAACATTCAAAACGGAATTATTTACGCGTCGCGAAACCAAACCAAATGACCCCAACTGAATATTGAAGAGCACGTTATAATCTATCAACAAGCTACAACAGCCTTCTACACCTTCTACACTCTGCATAGTCACAGCTAATGTCTCTGGACAGTTATTCAACAGTTAATCCATTTGCAGTCACGTAGCAGCTTAGCAGACGGAGACGATTTAAGGGAAAGCCTCACGGTGAGCTCGACCGGTGGAAGGGTAGTATGACGTTATTATGTCTGAAGACGGCAAGGAGAGTGAAGAGGGCGCTTCCGTTCAAGAATAATCTTCCGTCAAATTTCATTAAACACGGCTCTTAAGCGACGAAAGTTCGACGTATGTGCCCATGGCTAAGTTTCTCTTTTTTTGGGCACCCCTGTTATACACTCTGCTAGCACGAGATCAGATTTTGCTTCAGCGACAATTCATATGTTCTCGACTACGCTTCATGCTCTTTCCGCTCATCAGTAGCAGAAGTATGGACCTATCTAGGGTTGTTGCTTGAAGGAATCCTTCGCGGAAAATTCTTGCATTCTTTTTGACATGAATGTGTCAGTTGTGATCACTGGAAACAGCACACAAAGTTTCACGCATGAAGATTCGGTTTCCGAAGAGAAACAAACGTACAAAAACTACACGTTATGGACATCGAAGGTAATTCGGGCGGAGCCAAAGGCGAGGCATGGAAAGAAGACGGCGTTTGGCCGGCTACGTACCAGGCGACGCAATGAGAGAATCGGGTTAAAGCGCGCGATTTCGGAGAGTGGAGACAAATCGATCGATGGAATAGGATGGAGTAGAAGTGTAAGATGTGAATGCAATAAAGCAGAAGGCCAGAAAGAGTTTCTAGTGAAAGGCACTCCAAGAACCAAGTGGAAGCATCCCCGTCGCCAGCATTTGTGAAAGACGTCCGTGGGCACTTTGAACGCGTAGCAGCCCTTTCGATTTTTCGAATTTTTTACCAAAACGGTTGCTGTGTATCTGATGATCACGTAATCACAATATGATGATCTTATCGATATCATGATCGTGCGGGAAAACCGCCTATATAAACCCTGGGTCGACAGGCTGAGGGTATTCGTGTATTGTCTTCGTGTATTGTCTCAACCTGCTCTGGACCTCCCCAGTGCCCTGTCCTGCCTTATTGTTTTCACTGTACTCACTAATAAATCTGTGGATCAATATTCGGTGCAGCCTCTCGCAACAGGACTCGGCCTCCAGCAGCAGGACACAACAGTGGCGATCAGGATCAACAAAGGACCCTGCGGCAATCAATAAAGGACTTGGTATCTGATTCCATATCCGTCAAGAGGGACAGGAAACAACTCAGATAAGGACTTTTTTCAATTGTTTTTGATTAAGGTCGCGGCGCTTAAGTGGGACAAGCCCCACTTGTTCAGAAGAAGAAGAAGAATTTTCTACTTATTGAATACTTTTTTTTTCTTGTGATTTGCTCTTGCCTTGTTCGATTGTCAAAATTTCGGTGAAACAATGGATACATCCACTATTTTATCAATGTTCAAACAAATAATGGAGGAACAAAGGAACGCAACATCCTCAATGATGTCATCAATCATGAAGGAGCAGAAAGACATCATTGCGAAAATCATCGATCGCGTTCCAGAGCCTGGTCAAGGTTGTGCCAAACCAGAAGAGTCAGTGGCCCTCCCAAATGTTATGGCGGCTCTGAGCAACCGCATTGAGAAGTTCGTCTTCGACCCTGATGCTGATGCGAGCTTTTCGAAATGGTTCTCAAGATATAAGGAGGTCTTCTCTGAGGATGCCAAGCAGCTCACTGAAGTTAACAAGGTGAGGCTACTTTGTGAGAAACTGGATTCCTTGACATTCGAAGAAGTACCAAGCACGTTCTAC